AATTATTCATTTATTATTATTTATTTATTTTATTGACCAATAACTCAAAATTGGAAAAATTGTTCTCTCTCAAAATTGGAATCAATAAAAAACTTTAAATTCCAAATGCTATATCCAATTATTTTGAACCAATAGTAAAATTTAAAATTGCGACTGAAATTATTTTCATATTTTTTAAAAACTTCTAAAATACAGTCAATTTGTGTTTATCCGGAAATAAATGTTTGTCTACTATTCACAAGGTAAAATGTTCGTAGCCGAATGAATGCGTCATCGTTTCAAGATGGCGGCTGGTGTAAGCCACATTTGAATAGCAGCTTCGTTCTGGTAATTGCTCTTACTATCCCCGGAGGCAAGCTTCATTCACCACTTCTGTTTCTTAAATACCTCATTACGGTAGCGGACGAGAATTTGGAGTTTAGCGGTCCCTTAATTGCATGTAAGCCAGCGTTGGTCTTAATAGCTTAAAACGATTTTTAATATCTTAAATAACAAAAAAAGAAAGGAAATAATTTGTTACCCACACATAATGCAGAAGTAGACACTATTTTTGTATTTTGTATTGGCACAACCCACACTAAGCAAATTTGTCCTGTGGTATTCCATGTCGCTACTACAAGAAACGTTAAAATCTGTCGAACATCATGAAGACCGGAGTTATTTATTTACTCATTTCTACTATTAGGTAAACTAATTCTGATTAATTATACTATAATATTTTTTTGCCTGGATAGTGAATTTGCTAAAAGCTACTATAATTGACGTCGATTGGCTTTTGCGGATTTGTATACTAGTGACATGTAATAGGGTTTCAGATTTCTATTACCGCGAACAAAGTATTTTGTGTGTATAAAAAACTAAATTATTTTGTGTGTATAAAAGGCCAAGAAAAGATAGGCAAAGAAGTCTATAATTGTTACAAAAACATCTATCCGCGCTACGTCCCCATAAAGCCCGTTTTTTTTTGGGATCGGGTGGGAAATCTTTCGAAAGATACCCTATCACCTAACATGACAGGGTTATGTGGGGTTCTTTCCCACTAAAACCTCCTCGGTGGCCACCTTCCGTACATTAAGGACTACGGGATCTCCCATGGAACGCACCGGTGTCCCTCCGTACTACGCCTGAGCAAGCCTCGGAGAAGGATCTACCTTCTCCAATTCCCTCACCCTCTTGCAGCAGCACGAGACCACTTCGTGCTGCTGCTCATCCGTGTCCCCCTCCGTGCTCCCCTTTTACGAACGTCCCCATAATGCCTGGTCGAGAAAGGGGACTTAGGTACGTCTGTCCCACCGGGAGCCCCTAAACAACAAAAAACATTTGTTTTTTGTTAAAAATGCTGTTATTTACGGTTTTGATTATATGCTTATTTTAGTGTAAAGTCAACTACTGCATTAATTCTTTGTTAGCATTTAACACACTTCAATTATTATTTTTTTTTATTATTCTTTTTTTTTAGCAGTTGTCAATATAATAACTTTTGAATGTCGTTTCACCTGTAATTGAGATACCATTTAGTTTAAGATACTATGTACTTATTTATGTTTTAAGCTTGTTTTGATGTGTATCTTGTTGGTGAAGTAAATAAATAAATAAATAAACACATCCAATTAGTTAGTTCTCGCCTATAAGGTTCCATGGCAGTATTCACCGCCCCCAGCCAATTGATACAATAAATAGCCAACGTTATCACTGTACGTACAGAACCTATATGGCTTTTGGGTGACATTCCCATCCAGTAGATAACGTAGCTTTGAGCATATGAATGGCCCAACTCAATGCGGAGGGCCGTATTAAACTCATGGGATCTGGCTATCCCACAAGTTCTACGTTAGATGAAGCTTTAATAGTCTACGGACTGAAAGCTAAAACATCAGTTTAAGTAAAAGTAAAAGTGATAGAATAGGAGACACAAATGAATAGCAGTGGAATATTGCAACAATAACTAGGTAATAATTAACTACTAATTGCATAGGCGAAAATCCAAAGGCGGATTATCGCAAACTGGTGATGATAAGGATGAAGGTATTAATGGTGGTAGTGACGATGATGCCACTGTGTATATAGATATAGTATAGGGAATCATCGTTTCTTGGTTAACTGATCAATTGAATTAGTTATTGTAATCGTTAATGTTCTAAAATGTTTATTATCATTACGAAGGTCACGTGAACCGCTTCGACTAATTGCAATAATAACCAATTATAGTAAAACGTCGGTTAATGTTTTGTGAATGGGTGGATGGTTGGGAACCTATTAAGGTTGACGTATTTTGGTTACTGTGACCTGACCCCTGACCCCATCAAGGCCAATTTCTATATAACTTGATGAGTACTTAGCGTTAGTAAACACACTCAAATTTTAGATACCATGTCAATATTTCCGAAAGTAACTCGGTAATATTTTTAATATGTATAATTTTTTTGAAGGAGCACCTTTGAAGGTTTGGTATTTGATTGGAAGGGACTTTGCATCAGTGTACTCTGTTGCGCCAATGGGCAGGTCCGTCTGGTTTAGTACTACGACCTCACAGAAGACCGGCGTGAAGTGGAAGTCTTACACTTCTGCGTTTCGTCTGGTGAGTGAGGCCGGGGCCCACTTTATCAAAAGGTGGCAACGCATCTGCAACCCTACGGGTGTTGCAAATATCCATGGGTGGCGGTTATCACTTAACATCAGATGAACCGTCAGCTCGTTTGCCACAGTCTCACATAAAAAACATACGTTGTAACTCTAGTTTACACGTTTCTCCGCCAATAGCATACCAAAATCAGTGATTGCTTGGTGGTTCTATAGGAAGTTGGGGCGAAGCATGGTGGACTAATAAATTAAAATAAATCTTATATCATAATTATAGTTATTGGTCAGCGTATAAGGTCTTAGTACCTGGAGGACCGAGCTTTGCTCGGTTTTTTTTGGTAAATCATGTATTTTGGAAATAAAAAAAAATAAAACATAAAGAAAGCAATGATCTGGTATAGAAAAAAAAGTAAAAAAAAATAAGTGTGGAAATGATCGTGACACGAACCACGGCCTTCTGTTTCGGGGCCGCCCGATTTCCGACCGAGCTATTATGAAATTTTTTTGCGGTGAAATTTACCGTCATATTCGAATGATATTTTTCTTTCCCTGAAAACAGGGATAAAAGGACATTTTCTAAAAATTAAACCTGGCTAGATCAATTGTTTCGCCCCCGAATCTACGCATATACTAAATTTTATGAAAATCGCTGGAGCCGTTTCCGAAATTGCGATTATGTATATACAAGAATTGCTCGTTTAAAGGTATAAGATATTCGAATTCGTATGCTACCGTTTCGTATTTATCTCCATCTGGTTTTCGAGCTTATTTATTATCAATCTGAAGTCGAGTCCGAATAAGATCAGCTTGTTACATGTTATCTTTGGTTTGTCGGAATTCTTACACGCAAAAATCTGTCACGCTTAAGAATTTATTACCTACTAGCTGACCCGGCAAACGTTGTTATGCCATATAAGTTATTTCTAGGGAATTTGAAATCCAAATATGTTTGGGGTGGACCACACTCAATGCTTAGAAAATATTTTTCTGTGTTCAGGAAGTCTGGAAAAGAATGTTAAAAACGCACGCATAATTTGTTTATAACAGTTTGTATGGGAAAACAAAATTCTTGCTATTTCGATTTTCTGGACTGCCACAAATATTTAAAAACTAAAATTAGCCAAATCTGTCCAGCCGTTCTCGAGTTTTATCGAGACTAACGAACAGCAATTCAATTTTATTTATATAGAAAAGAAGATAGATGATGGAAGATAGAAAAAGAAGAAGATATCCTTCAACTGCGAATTTCTTGAAATTTTTTATTTTTATTTGCTTTCTTCGGGCACCGACTTTATATCCGCCTTCTCATATCAGTTATAGACTTATCTTCTCTGAATAAAACACTAAAATAACAATAAAAAACCATTTATTTTTATTTATACAATTTCTGTCTATGGTAACTATTTTGTACAAAACGTATAAAACATAGTATTATGTACACACATTCATCATTTCAGTAACTTAGTGTTATATTAAAAGTTTCTATTTAATACACATAAAAGCTCATTTGTCGGTCGTTGTTGATTGGTGATTTGCTTTCAAATAACTTGTCAAAACTCATCAATATCGTTCGTATGTATGGTTTATATAAAAATCAATATATTATTATGTATATAATATTAATTATGTTGTAATATATTTAATATATAATAAACATTAATTTTACCAACCCATTTCGCGATTTTGACAGGCAGACATACGTGTTTTCAGTTTTTACTCGACTGAATGCTTTGGTCCGATAAAGCTCTAACCGTGAAGCCGCCCCGCGGCGGTAGTGATAAGGAACTAGTCTATATATAAAACATACTTCGAACAGTTTTACTTATAAACATTCTTGATTGTATCTTTATCCATGATATAAACTCTTCTCATGGATATAAATATCCATGAGAAGAGTCCATGAGAAGAGAAGAGTCAGCATTTTTTTTATGGTAAAGTTTGTATTCATCATCATTAATCCAATCCTATTTGTAGGCATATTCCATACATTGCCACATAGCAAGAGAATACCCTTCCGGATCCACCTACCTCTGCACCAATAGTCGATGAACATTTTGTTAGGATAAGGAATTCCCTGATCATTACGTGTAGATACATAATCGATACATCCTAAATAAAAAAAAAAACTCGTCAGTTACTTGAATCTGTTCGACATTATATTATACTATAATATACGAGCATATTTATGAAGCATCATTTCACAATACATGTGTTGTTTACACCTCATTCAGGTAATTCGAGATTTGTATAATTTCGAAAATACTAAACCTTAAAGATAAATCTTTGAACATTCATCATTACACCGTCATCTGCAGCTGCATTTTTTGGACAATAGCGTAAACGAATTATTTCTCACTAGTCGTACTTAATTCTTGGTCGTCTGCATCACGATTAATTTATTCGTCACTAGTTACGATTCAGTTTGGCGCAACGTTAACCCTATCTATCAAGTTCATTTGGGTCTCCACATCGACCGCCTTCCTGCCTTTGAAGCTCTCCTCGATGTCCTGCAGAGTGCGGTCCTTCGTCTCGGGGAGCATAACATACATGACACACAAGCAAACGCTCAAAGTGGCCGAATACACCAAGAACGCGCCTTGCACCCCTATCGAAGAGTAAAGGTGCGGCGCGGTCTTCATCGACACCACGAACGAGGGCGTCAGGAAGGAGGTGGACAGCGTAGAGCCCAAACTCCTGTAAGCCAGGGGAAAGACCTCGCCGCATATCACCCAGTTCAGTGGCACCAGGCCCAAACAGAAGGACAGCGTGTAGAGTATCATCAGGCACATCGGCACCACCTCTAACACCCAAGCGCTTGTGAACAACCCGGCGTTCCTCAAATACACGAACACCGAAACAGAAGTCAGAGACAACACAGTCATCACACCGCTGGTGAATAAGATCGTCCTCCGTTTGAAGTACTTCAACAGGAATATCGCTAGCAGCGCGCACACGGTCCTGAGTAGGTCTATCGCGGTGAACTGCCAAGCGACTTGCATCGGATCGCCCTTGTCCAGGACCGCCTGAAGGATCAGATTCCCGTAAGCGGGCACCATATGAGCACCGCCGAACTCGAAGATTATCAGCATGCTGATCGCTATTATCGATGGCTTGTAGAACTCCCGCTTCTTGAATATCCTCATAGCGTTCTTCAGCGCGTCGAAGGCCGGTCTCAGAACGCCAGTCCACGAGAACCGTTTCACTACCTTCACAGTTTCACTTTCAGACGTATCCCTCTCTTGGGCTTTGATCATCGAGTCCAGTTCGGCCTTCTGCTCTTCGCCGTCACCTCTAACCCATCTGAACGCTTTGCGCGCCTCAACAAACTTGCCCTTCGTCACCAACCACCCAGGCGACTCCGGAGACAGGCCGATGATGGCCATAGCCACTAATGGAAACAGAGAACAGACCGCAGCCGTCATCCTCCAACTGAGATGCGCTCCCCACACGTGGGACAGAAGAATGCCCAAACCTAGAGAAATAGCGAAGGTGCCCAGGAATGCGCCGCGATACTTCGGCTCAGTATACTCTGCCACAAGAATAGCCGCTAAAGGCGTCCGCAAGCCCAAGGCGAGTCCATGTAAGAGCCGAGCGAGGAGGAATGCCGGGACGCTGTTCCCCATAACGAAGGTCACCCAGCCCAGCAGTGCGGGAACGGTGCTGATGAGGTGCGCTTTCTGCCGACCGAACCTCGTCATGAGGATAGGCGATATGAAGTTGCCGACGATGCCCATCACACCGACGACGGAAGCTGCAATTTAAAGAAAACTTTTAAAATTCCTTGAAATTTTATGTTAAAAGTTGGCGAGCCATCAGCTCAACTGATATTGATCTTTTCTTGCATTTCCAACTTTAAAGAACCAACGTTAATACTGTTGATACTCACGTAGCCTAGAATAAGACTATTATACCTGTATGTTATATTGTAAACTGATACTTTTGAAAAAGAGCAACTGTTGAGTTTCTTGCCGGTCTCTTCTCAAAAAAAAAAACAGCTTTCCGAACCGGTGGTACCTTACGTACTATACATAATTTTTTATGTGTGTGCGAAGAAACAATGTAGATAAAAGACGTTGAGGAAGAAACAATGTAGATAAAAGACGTTGAGGTTTAAAGCGTCTGGGCGCGAATCCTGTAGACGTGGATTCGATTCCCGCAGCGGCGAGACAATTTTCGTACTTGTTTTTCTAATTTTAATGGTATTATATACTTTAAATATAATAATATAATAAATAATAATAAAAATTTAGGACACACTTTACACAACATTTTCTAGTCCCAAACTAAGCAACGCTTGTACTATGGGTACTAGAAAACTGATAAACATACTTAAACATACTTTTCTTTTGTAAATACATACATGTTATAGATATATAAACACGCAGACACTAGAAAACACTATGTTCATCACACAATATTTTTACAGTAGTGGGGATCGAACCCACACCCTCTGGCGCAGGAGGCAGGTACACTACCCACTACGCCACTCGGGTCGTCGAATATATTAACATGTACGTAGGCATATTCATAATTGTCCAGTCACCAATATCTTAGAGGTATAATTTGTCTGTATGTCTACAACAATAGTCATTGCTGAAACTAACGCACCAATTCAAAATTGTTGACGTAATGAAACACGGCATCTTTGATTAACGGAGACGCATTTATTTACATGTAATTAGGTTTCCGTTTCGAAATCTTGGACGGTTGAGGAAAACGAAAAGGTAACATTTGTAAACGCCAAACATCATTTGCCAAACATCAGCTTGTTGCCTTTAATATGTTTACGACAGTATTTTATAATTGTCAAATGTGCTTTATTTGAGTGTTTTCAACCGACTCCAAAAACGGTTCTCAATTCGACTGTATTTTTTTTTAATGTTTGTTACCTCAGAACTCTCGGCTGAGTAAACCGAAAATCGGTTGATGATTGATCGGCTGATTCTTTTTTTATTTGAAAGCTGGTGCGTCCCATGTGGTCCCATATTAATTTCATTGGTATTGGATCTTGGGCTCCGGAGGTACTTAGGGAGCTTTTGAAAATCAATTATAAAATGAATACAGAGCGAGATATTTGAAGTCGATTTTGTTTTTTGTTAAAAAAAAATTGACTTGGGGAAATGTAAATGGACTTATTGACCCGCTCGTGCGAAAAAGTCACTTCCAAGCTAGTTTTTTATTGTAATATGATGGCAAGCGAGCTGGCGGTTAACCTGATGTTAAGTGATAACCGCAAATACATGTGCAACACCTGTAGGTTAACAGATTCTTTGCCACCTAATAAAATGCGCCCCGGCTACCTCACTCACCTGACGAAACGCAAAAGTGTAACACTTCCACCACACGCCGGTCTTCTGTGAGGTCGTGGTACTCACCCGGGCGGACCTGCCCATTGGGCAACAGCGAAGATTGTCGTGGCACTACTACAGTTACAAACAACTACACACCCCGGCTTCGCACGGATGCAATGTATTATACATATAAACCTTCCTCTTGAATCACTCTATCTATTAAAAAAACCGCATCAAGATTCGTTGCGCAGTTTTAAAGATCTAAGCGTACATAGGGACAGAAAGACAGCGGGACGACTTGTTTTATACTATTGTAACTGGACCCCCCTTCATTATGCATATATATAATTAAACTTATATATATATTTCTACCCCGTTATATGAATAAATCATATAACATCATTACGTGACCAGGATAAATTATTGATCTTTCTATAGGATCTTTCTACAGGTAATAATTAGCCGTATAAATATTATTGTGACCGTCATATTCGGTAGGACCTCATTTACGTTGTGTTTATTTAGTAACTTGAGTCTTTTAGGTGTATCTTGGATAGATAAATATTCACTAGTCGTGGTATAAGGCAGAGATAATGTCAGATTGCTTTCTTAACAACTAATCCCGACTCGCTTGAGACGGGCTCAGAGTATATAGTATACTCCCTCTCACGCTTGTAAAGGGATCACAATATAATTTTAAACTAATATCCCTTCTCTCTTGAAAAGGGCTCACATCAATTTTACATACCCGATACAAGTCAACAGCTCCCCCACATTTAAAAAAAAAATGTAAGGAAGGCACAGGGCTCCATGAAAACACTCACCAACGCCGTGTGCGGTGAGCGCCAACCAACATATTGCGCCCCCCCCCCCCCCCCAGAAGAGGGACAAAAAGTTGCGGAAAGGACCGAAGTCCATTGCAAAGCTGTTTTACCAGCATAAAGAGGGCTTGGCCCCTTGGCAGTGCGTAAGCACAAACTTTGACCGAAGTCGCGCATGTCAATGCGTGTAAACGTCATACAAGTCAACGACAAATCCAGTCTTCGTGAATCAATACGGTATTGGGCATGTGTTAAAGATCAGGCACTCTGGCCCTATGATATAATAAGCCCTCCGTAAGCGCCACCACTTTTGCCAGATCGCCGCGACTGCAGACGTGATTGTTAGTGTTTTGGCATCACCACCATTAAAAAGGTTAGCACGACATTTCGTCGCAGAGCGCGTTATGAGTCACTGCTCACCCCAAGGGTATGGTTAAAACGTTGCACGGCATCGCCGCAGCCTTGAGAGGTTTTCTCCCGCCAGCTACCATCCACATGAGGTAAACGCATATGCTCCACCAACCATTGCAATAGTCAGATATAGCCATAGTTGTGATTTTTATGTTTAGCCATCAGAAGGGTTTATAATTGGCAACATATATTTATTTGTCAGTGTCTCTGACGTTGAGTATAGTGTATTTTCGATCAAGTTTGTCTCACCCACCAGCAAGTTGCCATTATTCGTTCGAACGGTGGGAACTTTACTGAGATTCGTTAATAATGATAAAACGTATAAAGACGACAAACGATCGTCGCAACGCATGAACGAAACGCAACCGTTGACCACAGACACAGATAATAGACATCGCGCGGTCTTTAATCTGTCACAACAAACACTGGATGAATCTACTATGAAGGTGTTATCGAAAGGTTTAAATTTCGCAATAACGCCGCGAAAAATCCCGTACGAAGAAATAATCTGTAGTGTCGAGGACTGTCTATATAAAAATAATATCGGCAAGGAAGATTTAGAAGGTATACGACAAGATATTTCGTCTTTATTACGTCGAAGTTCGGTACCGAAGTCTAACCTCCCCAAAGATGAATTTAACGCGTTAAACAGCTTACGCAACAACAAATATTTAACTGTTCTCCGCGCAGATAAAGGAAATGCTACGGTTGTTATGAAAATGTCGGATTATAATTTGAAAATACAAGAACTGTTGTCGGATGTAAGCACGTATAAAAAGGTCAAAACAGACCCAACCACTAAAACGCTTAAATTAACTAGTGATCTCATTAAAAAATACTCCAAAAAATTAAATCTAGACGTGAAATCGATGACACCTTCATGTGCAAAACCCCCTAAATTGTATGGGTTGCCTAAAATACACAAACCAGACTTGCCATTACGCCCTATTGTAAGCCAGATCGACTCACCAACTTACAGACTGGCTCAACATCTAGTACAAATTCTCTCACCGCTGAGAGGACACACACGGGCATACACAAAGGATTCGTACCATTTTGTTATTGAGATAAAACAACTATGTCTTGCTGACAAGGAAACAATGGTCAGTTTTGATGTACAGTCTTTATTTACATGCCTACCATTAGAAGACTGCATCTCAATTGTAACAAGGAAGCTAAAAGAGAATAACATGCCGGAAGAGTATGCATTACTACTTAAACATTGCCTAACATCCGGCTATTTGCTTTGGAAGGAGGAATTTTACATACAGATAGATGGTGTAGCAATGGGCTGCCCAGTATCTCCCATTGTCGCTGACATATTTATGGAAGACTTTGAGGAGAAGGCCCTTCGCACAGCTCCCATTTATCCAAGGTTTTATAAGAGGTATGTAGATGACACCTTCACCATTTTACCAACAAGTAAAGTTAATGCATTTTTAAATCACCTTAACTCAATAAATTCCAAAATACAATTCACTATGGAATTAGAGAATAATAACTCTTTAGCTTTCTTAGAAGTTTTGGTCATCCGCAATCCAAATATCACTATAAGTCACACTGTGTATAGGAAGGCAACCCATACAAATAGATACCTAAACGGTGACTCTCACCACCATCCATCCCATTTAGCTACCGTGGGTAAATCTTTGTTTCAGAGAGCACAAGGGATCTGTGACAAACTACACCTGGCCGCTGAGCTTCAACATGTCAAGCAAGTTCTGCATGACAACAAACTTCGAGCACCGCGCCTACGTCACAGTGACCGAGTGAAACCAGCCACAGTGGAGCGAGTACCTGCTGTTCTACCATATGTCAGAGGAGTCACCGACAAGATTGGCTATATCTTAAAGCGGGCTTCAATTAATACATTCTACAAGCCGCTGAAGAAGATTAGTCAGTTTTTACCATCTGTCAAGTGTAATATCCCTCTGCAAGATCCAGGAGTGTACAAACTTGACTGTGAATGTGGGCTCTCTTACATAGGACAAACCAAAAGAGCTATAAAAACCCGCGTGAAAGAACATATAGCTGACATAAAACATAGTAGATTAAACAAGTCTGCAGTTTGTGAGCACACTCTAAATCGGCCCAACCACTACATCAGGTTTGATAGACCACAGATCCTTTCAAAAGAACACCGATTCCTCCCAAGGATGATTCGCGAGGCTATTGAAATTAAAAAACACCCTAATTTCAATAGAGAAGAGGGTTGGGTACTACCATCAGCTTGGGATCCTATCATCAATAAAATTAAATCTAAGCCCAAAAGAACCACTACTGCAAGACAAGATACAATTAGCTCCCTCTGCATAGATCGGACACAAAATCAATAATACAAAAAACTGACGGTAGCCCGGGATAACTTTGACAATCAGACGTCTAACACCTCAGTCTGTCCCGTGACCATGAACGCTGTAAGGGGTTCGAAACGTCGGGAACTTAAATTAAAAAAATAAATGCGATAAATCCGTAAAATTAGTTTCATTTATAATGTGTAATCGCGTAAATACAAGAAATTATTACGTATAAAGAGGTCAGACAGTCTGCAGTTCCGTCATCAGGAACCCGACTTGGACAAATCTACTGAGATGTGCATCAAACCGAGACGCAAACTCGGCCATTATGAATAGCGTCGTCTCCCAAGCAAATGTCGCAAGACGTAATGTCACTAAATGCAACATGCATCAATACAACTATCGCAGGTCAACACGCCAACATAAAGCCTATCCGCATACACAGCAGACATCATCACCTCGAACCTCCGTCAACCAGAATCATACGATGCAATGATATTAGGCGCAGAACACCCCGCAACTACCACAAGACGCATTACTGCATATAGCCGCACGCATCAATGTGACTATCGCGTAGGTGGCGCACCCTCACACCACACCAATATAACTCCAATCAACTTCGGCTCCAAAGTTTAGAATATCCTCGGAACACACAAAGTGTCCAAACATACTCTTTCACAATCCGAATGATAGTCGACGTATCATAGCGTAAACACTAAGACGCCAACCACCAACGGACCCCCACCCCAGTCAAGTAATAGCCAACGTATCATAGTGGAATACACTAAGACGCAAGCCACCACCAGACTCCCCAAAGTCAGATGATCAGTCGACGTATCATAGTGCAACACACTAAGACGCCAACTACCAGACAAACTCTTACCAACTACCACCCAGCTATCGATGATATGTCCACCACTCAAGACATATTCATTCATGGTTCCACGTTTACCGTAGACCATATCGTCGTACAGAAGTACCACGCAACTCCATAGTAATATGTCTTATAAAGTCCCAAGTCATTCATTGCTCTTCATTATATTTATATATTCATTATTTTTACCTCTGAGCCTTCACATATTATTACTTTTATCCATTAGACCTTACTTCCATATGATATTGGTATGGGACGTTCATACAATGTACTTTGACTATAGTACTAAGAGTCGCGATCGACCTCTGTACTTATATATGTACGATCATACAATTGTGTCCCCGCACGGTACATAATACTTCCCTTAGAAATCACTAAGTATGGAATTGTATTATATTTAATTACTATATTTAATTGACATAATAGTGATCGTATCTTGCTATATTTTTAATAAATATTCTTTTTTGAGTATTTTAAATTATTTTTAACTATTTTTGATCAATTTTTGGTAATATCATTTTCTCATACTAACACTTATATTTCTTTAATTTAAGTATATATTATTAACTTTAATTGTGATTAAACGTTCTTAACCGTTTTATTTTCATCTTAATTGATCTTTATTATGACTAATTAATAATAATATTTATTATTATTAATAGGTCGTTACACTATGTAGAGATGTTATACAGAAATGCGCCAAAAGCCATGGATGCCTACCTATCCAGGACGTGTCGTGGTCAGTCAGGGTCACTGGACCACCGTCCCTCTTCAGCTGGGCGAACAGCACAGCTGGATAGCCATGCGCGCACCCATGACCCATGATGTTCAGCGCCGCCCCTGACACCACGAAGGCCTGAAACCACGAACAATACATTCACTTAGCATCTTTTTTTAACATTGCCCTTACTTTAGGATAATTCTTACTTATATCCTTTTAACGTTTACATACACAAGTTTCAGGTGGATAAGCAACCTGATACGAAACAATTATCTGTGGGTCACACAAATAGTTGACCCGTGTGGGAATCGAACCCACGACCTCCGGCGCGGATGCCAATGACTTAGCACAGTTGCCAAGCTACGGAGTCATCAATAATTTCCTATGACAAGGATCTCAGATCTCTTATCTTTAGGTAAAAGTCTTATGAAAGTAGTAATAATAGTAGTAGTATAGTATATTTCAATTATAGAACATTACAATAAAATTTACAAGTTAATCTCATCATTATAAATAAAATAAAGTATAAAATATCAAATAATAATAATAGCAATGATTGTCAGGAAAAAAAATCGGTTCATTTTAAAATGTAACATTATAGATATAATGTGGAGCATCCTGAGTTAATATGCTGGCGCCGGCACCAATGAAACATTTAGTAGCAATTTTAAGTACTGATTTATGATGTACCGTGATAGCTCATTGTATGGGCGCTCGCTTATAATTCAATATACTCGAGCAACCTGAGTTCGATCCCCGATGCCGGCACCAATGAAATTGTTAATTGTAAGTGCTGATTTATCGCGTGCTCGGCGCTGAAGGAAAACATCGTGCAAGAAACATCGAGAAGGAATAATATTTCGAATACATGTGAATTTTGGTAGGACCACGCAACTGTTGCAAGAATGGTCAGCTTCGTCCGGGTAAGTACCACGACCTGACAGAATACCGGCGTAGAGTATAAGCGTTACACTTCTGCGCTTCGTCTGGTGAGTGAGGTAGCCGGGGTCCACTTTATTTATTAGGCAACGCATTTCCATGCCCATGGGCAGCGATCACTTAACATCGGGTGAACCGCCAGCTCGTTAGCCAGTTTTTCACGTAAATAAAATAATAAATAAGTCCGCTAATCCGCAGTGCGGCCGCGTGGTTCCCTACGCCCTAATACCTTCTGGGTTGAGGAGGCCCAGCCGTGGGACATATACAGCGTGTAGTTACCAACGCGACAATAAATGAACACAATTCTAACGTTACTTGCCAATAATCATAAAAAAATATAAACATTAAAAAAAATCCATAATTAAAAAAAAATTCAAACAAACTAATTAAGTAAAAAAGAAATAAAATTTGTCACAGCCTATACAACTACAACTGACTGATCCATACATTCAGAGACTATTTCATTCGTTGCCACTGCGTCGCATTACAAGCCTCTCCTTCTAACAGTATGTTTTGTCTCTTTTAAATTCATTCAACCCATTCATATGCTTTGTGACCTTTACGAATGAACTTTACGTTACAGTTTTATACGAAAGGGGGGAAATTTAATAACTCTGTAAATATTGATTTTTAAAGGATGTAAATTATATTTAATACAATTTTAAAAAGTTATTCTCTATATGTGTTCATTAATTGTCGCGATGGTAAAGACACGCTGTATAGGCTTGTTACTTTACTGTTTACTATGTGACGTCTGCCGAACGGTGGACTACGCCCTATAATACCATATGTACAGAGGCTTTCGCCTAGCAGTAAGACATATAAAGACTTAACTCATTTGCGTAAGTACAGAGCTATTTATAACAAGACGGCTATTAGTTTAAATCTCAATTTGTAGGATTGCAAATTACCTTACCTGCTTAATGAATGGCTTCATATCCCAAGGCCTTCATGAAGTACTGACCTGAAAATAATTGTACATTTAAGAATAAATCCTCGTTTACAAAACTATAGAAACACCAGATCCGTCCAGAATTCGCTTGGGTTGGCGCGTAAAGAGTAAAATGCAACCAACCAACGCGTTAAAAGTAATATTTATTGTGTAATGTGTAATTTTCAGTTTGGTGCTACGTTAAGTTTAAATTCATTTCTCGCGTAAACTGATGTACATATCTTTGTAAATTAGGACACATATCACATTTTTTATATACTAATATTCTATACACGTTTTAAGCCATTATCATGCCCCTATCCCAACTAGGTGGGGTCGGCACAACAATATGTGACTGCCTGACGTCTAAACTTTATGGCAATAAACTCCCAGGTCTGAAACCATTATCTGTGGGTCACACAGATAATGGTTTCAGACCTGGGACCTTGTCCCGTGTGGGAATCGAACCCACGACCCCCGACGCCGAATCATATACCTTGGTAACTGTGTGGAGTCACGTAGTAGACCATTTTTTATGTGAGAAAGTAGTCGGTGTTTCAAGTGAAACTTAACAATAATTCGCGTTAATCTATTTTATTAAGAGAGCAAGGTAAACTTTGTCTACAGTGTATTTGCGTCATAAAATGTCTTATTTTCTTTTTGTTAAATTTAGTATGATTGGAAAGGTTACAAATTCATGTAAAATTTGTAACCTTTCAAGTGTTTATTATATATCCTGTACCCTGCGATAATTAATTAATTGTGACTTTTTCCGAATAGTTCTAAATAAACTTGATGTCATTTGTTTAATAAGCCGTTTAGCTTAGTGGCTAAAGCGTCAGGCCGCGAATGCCGAAGACGTGGGTTCGATTCCCACAGCGGCGACAATCTTTTCGTACTTTTTCTACAAATTTTAATATTTGTTGATTTTTCAACCCTTTTTGTTTATTAATTTTTTAATATCGCTAAATTGCATTTACTTTATATTAATTTTGAATTATGTATATAAGGAGTCTCCAACTTCATTATTACAGATATCATTTTAATGTGAGACCATTTTAAAGCGGTGGATTTGAAAAGGATTGAAAGAAAAGTATAACAAGCAAGAATGAAACTGTGTATGGGAAAAAAATATATTTAAAATTGATAGTTCATTAGGTATTAATTGCCGATCTGCTCCGCAATTGATAAATAAAAAATTAAAAAACTTTTTTGTTTTCCATATTCAATGAAAATGTTTCTTAATTATTAAATAAATAAATAGTTAAATGATTTACTCAGGTATATTAAAATATATATTTAGAATCAATTTTTTTTTAATTCTTTTGTGTCATAAAATGTCTAGTAAAATTTTCCTTTAGCGCCGGGTGCTTTTCTACCTAATGAAAACTTTTATTCGATAGACAAAAATCACGAATGAAATAATCAACAAGCAGAATTCTCTGGCTGCTTATAGGTTTTGAGAAAAATAAATTTAAAACTCATTATTTTCACTAAAGAAATCCGCCATTACGTTGTTGTCAATTAATGTCTATTATATTTTTTTTATTGTTATATACTGGGTATTTCTGGAAAATATAAAAAAAAAGAAACAGGATGACTAATTTACCATTACTTAAGGCGTGAGCTCCGCTCCCGCAATAAAAACATCGCTACGTAATATAAAACAAAGTCGTCCCGCTGTCTGTCTGTCCCTATGTATGCTTAGAACTACGCAACGGATCTTGATGCGTTGTTTTATTTACTAGATAGAGTGATTCAAGAGGAAGGTTTATATGTATAATACATTGCACCCGTGCGAAGCCGGGAGGGTCGATAGTACCCTATAATTTTTACTAGGTCGAAGGCGTGTCAGGTCAGTTTGTGTTCGATAAAGTTAGATGAAAAAACTATAATAATTGTGAAACAATGGTCAATAAATAAAATCATTGTTCAACCAGTTACTTTACGATTACGCCATTAACGGAGGTTGGTTATTACGTTTCTTTATATCTTAAGAATTCATCATAAAAGCAATTGACCTTCAGATCTAATGAATGACTTTAGACCGGCCCTAATCTAATATTCGCATTTTTTGTAAAACGAAGCGATTCTTACTAAAAGCTATTTCGAATAAGTAAACTTTTTTTCTCCTTGTAACAAGAACGATATAAAATAATTCACGTCACGATAGACACAGCTATGACAATGTTTATGTTTCATTTGAGTCTGTCGAGGGTTTTAATCTGGATGGGAACAACTACGTAGTGCGGTAATTAATACACAAATGCCTTTGCATATTAATTGCAGCTTTACTACAGTATCGTGTTGATAAAAGACCCGATTTTATTTTCGCTCCGAGGTTATTCAGCAAGGAAATGCCGCTGGTATTCGTGCCACCAAGCCCTAGGCTAGGTTTGTTCGTTAGCGTGTATTCAGCAATTAATATTTTAAATACTTTCAAATGAAATTAAAATCTCTAATTGTGCTGTTTAAAAGGAAATGTTTAGAAGTGTTCACGGGTACACAAGAGCGTTCCATTGCTTTGAGTAAGCTTTTCATACGGACGAGCTTTTAAATTAAATTTGTACTGCCGGGCGCCCAGTGGTCCAAATTCGACCATAAGTAAAAAAAACATGGTAGTGTGTATAAAAATATAGCAAAATTTTAAAAAATATTAGCATTCTGCGCTCCTTCTCTATATAAATTATAAGTGTAGGAAATTTCACGCTCCTCCGTCCGCGCAATTCTCGTAATAAGGGGTTCAAAGTTAGCTGGGGTTCAAACTTTAAGCGAATCATCAATTGTGATTATGATTTTCTTAGTTTCGACTGCTATATACTTTTTTCTTCTATTTATGGGAAAGGAGCTTCAACCGAGCAGGAGGCTCACCTGATGGTAAGTGGCCACCGCCGCCCATGGACACCTCCAACGCCAGAGGGCTTACAAATGCTCTGCCGGCCTTTAAGAAAAAGTATGCTCTTTTCTAGAAGGTTCCCAGGTCGTAACCGTTTCGCGTTAGACGCGTCAACACTACGCACTACTGCATAGTACCGATTGTATCGACCATATAAACCGACAGCTCGTTTGCTATCATTCATGTTGGTCGTAGCTTCGATTCCCGCCCAGGGCAACAGTCGAGTTAAATCTTCATACTCGTCACCACAGATACATACTGACAATTTTTCCGAATCCTTTTTCGTACCACACCACACGATGTGAAGTCCTGCAACACAGGATGATTTTTTTTACCCAATAAATAACAAACCAAATGATTTTCACTCGGGTCTATATCTGTCGATCGAATTTTTGCCGCTGCGGGCAGTGGAACGCATACAGAGCCTTACCTCACACAGCACGTTTCGCCACCCATTGTTATCGGCGCCGACCAGCATCGTAACGAAACGTATTCGAACCCGGGATCCGCGCTCTACGAGGTCGAATGGTACGTACGTTCGCGCCAGCGCAAATAAATCATGACGTTATGAAACTTGACACGCGAATCGGCGACGCAGTCCTCGTCGTTGCATAATAACCCTGAAGTACGGCATTAAGAGGGTGTTCAAAAAATCATCGTCGACTGATGTTGACAATAACTAAATGGTGTTAATAATCAAGAAAAAATCTCCTATTCGTACGTAAAACATTTCAAAAAGCCCATATGCTATTCAAATGGAATTCTACTGTATACATTTCTACTCGCGGATTTCTTCGTGCTACCACCATACATTTTTATTACGTTTGTATGGTACCCGCAAGATTAAGACGAGTCGGTTAACGTTAAAATCATCAAAATCGTCCGACGCGTTTGGCTTCTAAAGCGCACAATGGATGGTGTGTGGTCAAATTGATCGATGGTTATTTATCAACACATTCGATATAAATACCGTAAATACGCAGTTTTTGTCATTACGGCTAACAATGTAACATCAAAAAGTAAAAATACTAATATAATAAAGCTGAAGAGTTTGCTTGTTTGTGTGTTACTACCATTCGAAGTAGAAAAAATCTTTTTGCATTTGATAGCGCATTTCTTAAGGAAGGTTATAGGGTATTTAACATCAGGCTACCACCGACTGGGGCGAAGCAGAAACGTTTCTCCCGGATGAAATCGCATGGTACAGCTAGTGAAGAATAAATGGTTACGTTAATGATAAACAGGAGAGAAATTTCGCCGATTCCACCTCGCAGAAAACTCGTTTAGTGTTTGCACAGACGGACAAACTAGTCGCTCACAATAACTATGCCAAATACTTCTTATGGCGTACATTGGTGAAATAAAAAACACGTTTGTGACGTTTGCAAAGAATTTAACCTACGGTTGACATCGAGCGTAGCTGTAATACATAATATTTACATGCATCAACATTCACGCCTGATGTCTGAAGAGGTTGGCAGAGACCTTTATCTCTTCCCCATCGACACAAAATATATAACTATACTCGTCAAAACATCTAATAAAATCGAATTAATGTGAATCTTAACACATGCCTATGCAGTAAAGTAAGTAGATAACATTAATTACATGATTATACAGCGTGTCGTTACCATCGCGACAATAAATGAAGACACATATAGGGGATAATTTTTTAAAGGCGTATTAAACATTTAAATTCTTTAAACATCAATATTTACAGAGTTATTAAATTTTCCAAAACAAAGAATTTTAGAACACCTTTACCTATAAAAGCGTAACGTAAAGTTCATTTGTAAAGGTCACAAAGCATATGAATGGGTTGAATGAATTTAAAAGAGACAAAACATACTATTAGAAGGAGAGGCTTGTAATACGACGCTGTGGCGCGAGTTGTATAGGATGTCACAAATTTTGTTTCTGTTTTACTTAATTAGTTTGTTCGAAAAATATATTTTTTTTAATGATGGATTTTGTTTAACGTTAATATTTTTTTATGATTATTGGCAAGTAGCGTTAGACGTGTGTTCATTTATTGTCGCGATGGTAACGACACGCTGTATAAGTCTGAACACTCCTTGTCTATTAATTATTATTTTTTTTGCATATTGCC